TTCATATGTAATTGAAAAGTATTAGAGGTTAAAAAAATACTGCATTCACTTCACCTTCCTTAATGTAGTTTTAGAATATTGTTGATTCGGTATTGGAAAAAAATCAAGGGACTTAACTCTGCTGGTACACATCTCAAGAAGATAAATAGACTCCTGAATGGTAAATTCTGGTATCTTCCACTAAGCCATGTATGCCCCCATCCCTTTTTAAAAAGAAAAAAAAAATTTATTTAGAGACAGGGTCTCACTGAGTTGCTTAGGGCCTCACTAAGTTGCTGAGACTGGCTTTGAACTCGTGATGCTCCTTCCTCAGCCTCCCAAGCCGCTGGGATTAAAGGCAGGCGCCACCATGTCTGGCTTACATTCATTCTTAAATTTCTCTCTTGGTAATAATCATAACTATCATTTATTTTCACTGTGCATCACTGTTACATCGATCGATTTTTGTCATTCCTTATAGTTTTCCTTGTGAACTTTGCTTTATTCTTGTTACAAATGAGGAAACTAATTACTAACCAAACATCATTTTATCATTTTGCAGCACCAAAATATTTATATTAGACTTCAGACACATTCTAATTCAAAACACACTCAGGGTAAAGAATTTTTGTCAATCTATACTTCAATAAAGCAGTACTAACAATCAATCAATCAATCAATCAATCAGTCAGCACACTCAGGTACACACACTTTTAACCCCAGCCACTCGGGAGGCCAAAGCAGGAGGATTGCAATTTTGAGATCAGGCTGGACGACGCAGTGAGGCTGTGTCTCAAAATCCCAAGGGCTGGGGATGGAGCTCAGTGGTCGAGCACCCCTGGGTTTTATCCCCAGTATCCCAAAAAAATGTCTTTAAGTTAAATATTTCAGACCATTTCTCTTGTGCAAGCTATGCGTATTTTATAATAGTGAGAGGGAGGTACATCTTTGTGAATAATATATAAATCTACTGAATGACCTGGGTACGGTGGCAAACACCTGAAGTCTGAGCATTACAGCAGCTGAGGTGGCAGGTTGACTGGAACCCACATGCTCGAGACCAGCCTGAGCAACATAGTGGGACCCTGGCTAAAAGAAAAGACAACAACAACAACAAAGTGGACCGAATGGGGATTCACCAGCGTTTAGTACAAATTCCTTATGGGCACAGAGTGGGGGAAAATGAAGTATTCCTACTTGGAAATCTTTGATGATGAATGCATAGAATATTCTCAATAAATTTATGATTCAGAAAAAGATTATAAATAAAAATCTTCTTTTTAGTGAAGTGTATTTCCACAGAATATTTATATAATGTGGTAAATCTTGCTGAGTTTTCTGGAGCTAAGGCACATGGAGATCTCTCTCAGCAGGTTAGGAGCAAATATTCTAGGAATAAGGCTAAATCACCTCTCTCATTTTTGCAATTTCCCCTCAGAAGATTTCAGCTGTTCTTTTGCCCCTCTTCCATTGCTGGCACAAATCAGGACGAATCAGGTTTTTTGAATTTTTCTTACTTCTTTCTGATTGTCGTGGCATATCACCATGTTTATCGTTATCTCTTACAGGGAGGAGCTTTATGAAGAATATTCTCAGCAGTTTGCGACTTTGGTTCAGATGTGGAATCTAGATGTGAAGAAAGTCAAGGAGCAAGGAGAAAAACTGGCTGTTGGTATCAGGCTTAGCTTTACGGCTACTCATTTTACCACCATCTCCAGGGGCAAGAGTTCATGCAAAACACTCAGGAGGGAAGGTGGAGGGCACGAGGCTAGCTGGACCAAGGTGGGAGGAGGGTGTGGTGATGGGCGACTGGATGTCCCCTTGGGATTGCTAGTGCTTCCCTAGTGAGGTGGCAAAGTCATCAGCTGGGAGTGGGGATGGGGAGCGGATGCTGCCTTCAGGGCAGAGGAGAAGACAGGGGATTGTCTCCTATGAGGGGGCCGCTGGAAGAACGAGGGAAACAAATGCTGAGCGGTGATTCGTACCAACTTTGGTTTGCGACCTAGGGAGCAGGAGTTTAAAGTGAAGCCAGTTGGCATGGCTGTGGCCAAGCAGCTGGAGAGTTGGATTGTCCTGGATGGGGAGTGGGTGTGGAGTATATATGCAAGGGTGGAGGTCTGGTGACTGACGTGTAATGTAAGCTGGGACTGAAAACACAGAGTCCACCATTACTGGAACACCTCGCTGTGTGGTTCTTCAGATCTTCAAGACCTGAGCCAGACGTATTGGATGTTGTTAAAAAGGAACATTGGCCCCTAAGTGCACAGGAGACAGGATTGGTGCCTAGCTTTCCTCTAGGGTTGGTGAACTCACATCATGGAAATTTGGTCATGCTATTAAATGAGGAAATATTGAGAGTGTA